ACTATATGAGAACATATAAAACTTGAGAGGTTCTTGGAGAATGACAAGCTGGAATCAGATTTGAATCTGAAATCCCTTCTGACCAAACTTGTTTCAATTTGTCAAACCAGGCCCGTGGGCTTTTTTAGACCATAGAGAGCCTGGTTAAGTTACAACATGGGAAGATAGTGAGGAACCTCAAACCCTTTTGGTTGTCTCATATAGACTGTTTCATTCAAATGACCATTAAGGAAGGCATTGTTCACATCCACTTGTTGAATATCTCAACCATAATACAACCATGTAAATATTTGAATGGTTGCTGTTTAACAACAGGCTGAAAGTTTCAAAATAATCTAAGCTAGGAGTTTGTTGAAATCCTTTAGCAACTAGTCTAGCCTTATCTTCTGGAGAGATCAATCAGCAGTGAAACTTAATTTGAAACACCCACTTATTACCAACTATGTTCATATCAGAAGTGCGAGGGACTAAACTCCAAGTTTCATTCCTACTAAGAGCATCAACTCATCTTGCATGGCCTTTTCCACTCATCACAAGCAAGAGCTTCAGTCACAGTATCAGGTTCAGGTTTAACAGGTGAGACCTGACCAGGGTCACGGTAGTTGAGTTGAGTTCTGGTTTGGTTTGTGGTTCAAAGTCAGAGGCTGTAGTCACTGTAACAGGTTGGTTTGTGGTTTATTATGTTGACAGAAGAAGCAAGGGCAGGTATTTCATTCACTGGAACAGATTCTGATGGAATGGGTAAAGTTTTGGTTTTGGATCTGGTGATAAGATGTGAATTAGTGATAAGAGATTGAATGATGGTTGATTATAAGGGGCTGATGAAAAGGATTCAGGTGCATAGGTAGGAAATTCAGTTTGAAGACACTGTGATGGAGTTAAGTCACAACAGAAGTGATCAGTGTGTGTCTGATGATGTGTAAAATCTGAATTATAAAAGCTTTTGAATCGTGGAATTGGAAGAGGATAGCAAGATAGATCTATTCTAATGAAATGTATGTGGAATAGAAATGAATAGGAGTAGGTAATGAGGAGTATAAGTATCAGGGTTGTTAGATGAGATTTGAAAGTGAGGTACTGATTTTATAAGATGGTTTAGGAATAGATGGACTGGGTATAGATTTATCAAGTCCTGCAATGAGGAACAGGAGCTGACTTGTTAGTAGTGAGGAAAGATAGGAACAGCACTCCACTGCAGAGAGACTTTACTGGTTGTACCATTAAAAAGGGAATGAAAACAAAAGGAAAACAATGAGAGAACTAGAAGACTGCTGCTTTGAGTAAAGAGGAACAGGAACTAGACGAATGTTGACTAAAACCAGTAGCAAAAGGGAACTCCAATCATTGAACTGAACATTAGGAGTAATAAAATTTTTCCCTCTAACTAAGACTTTGTACCTTTATACTTCCACTATAATCCAGAAAAACACATTTAAAAATGGAATTCACTTGTGTTTATGGAAACTCTCAAGAATGGAAAACAAGCACAAACCAAAAATTTTTAACTCAGAATATATAGGAGTCTACCTTACATAACCTGATATGGGGACAAAAAATCAAAATTGAGGTAGGCATTCTTAATAGAAACACAGCAGTATCAAAGCACACCACCAAAAAGGTAAAGGCATGGATTGCATGGCTAGTAAGGTCAGGCCTGTTTCGGCTATATGTCTATGCTTCCTCTCACTTCTCCCATTTGTTGGTGGACATAGGCACAAGATGCCTAAGCTAGATTCAAGCAGTGGTAAGATGGGTATTAGACCCCTATACTCTCTCCTTGATCAGACTATAAGATTTTGAGTTTATAGCCATTGCCTCTCAACTAATGGTGAAATTTGATGAAAGTGGACTGAACTTCAGCTTTGTTTCTTAAGGGAAACATCCAGGTGAACCTACTGTTTCATCAATGACATGAATGGTATTTAAAACCTTCTAAGGAAGCTACTGGTGCTGGTCCCCAAAGTCACTATGAACTATTTCAGTAGCTGTGTAGCTTGGAGTTGAACTAGGAAAGTGATTTCTATGTAGTTTTCCTAGTTTTATTGCACCACAAAAACCTAATGATGATAGGTTCTGAAGGTCAAGGATGATGTGAGGTAGATTCTACTTAATACATCAGCATGATGGTGGCCTAAACGATTATGCCAGAGGGACAAAAAACCCATGAAAAATCATAAAAAATGGAGGTTCAAATCTTGAGAGGAGAGAGACCATCATTGTAAGGCAACAACACACAATTTCTTTGTAACTATTACATAAACATTGGAATAACATAACAATGGATGTATGTTTGATTCTAAATTGCCAAACCACTTCAAAAACCATCTCTAATTCTTTCTTCATTTAAATTGAATTTATTTCTTGCTGATTTTCATTAATCATGTACACATCTTATTCTGTTCCACCAAGATCAATTGAATATCACAAGTTGTTGCGGATTTTCCTAACAATATTTTGGCGCTAAAAGGAAGGCAGATAGTAATTATAATCACCACATAGCAATCATGGCACATACCAAAGAATCCAAGAGCCTGATTGTTGTCCCAACAATCAAGAAGGTCAATCAGGGAACCACACAGAGTCGCAAGTAAACCAGCAGGAGGCATGTACCTCCAATCTAGAGAGTACACAGATGATGGATATGCTAAGATCGCTCACTAGTGCAGTCCAAAACCTACAACAAAAAATGACCAAAATGAAAGGGATACAACAAGGAAACCAACCCCAAGCTAGCAAAATGTCACCCCAAGGAAACAACTAAGCTAATTGCTACATATCATTCCTTATACACATGCAGGCACGTAGCCACATACACAATTGTGGGTTCAATTAAACCCACTCAACTTTGGCAAAAATAAAAAAGTCCTTATATATTATGGAATTTACAATTTTGACCTACAAAAATTTGAATTAATTAACACTTTATAACACTTTTCTCTCTTTTTTCATTTCGTCTCCTTCTCTCTCATATTTTCTTTTTCCTTTACTTAGATTACTCAAGAAAAACTATTCCTTTGGAGGTTATAAGGTAAGATGATGCTTATTATTATTATTATTATTATTATTATTATTATTATTATTATTATTTTGCTTAAAAATCTTTTCCTTTTGCTTTCTTAATTGATGAAAGATCATGAACTATGAGTTTTTGTTGAGTTCAATAAATGAGTTTGAAATTGGAAGATTAAATTTATAAATTTTGGGTTTCGATTTAATCTTGTTTATGTTGAGGTATGGATTAATTAATTGTTGTTTTAAGTTGGGTTTGATAAATTTTTGTTAATTATTGAGTTAATTTTAAATGGGTTTAAAGAATTGATGAAATCCTAAGTTGTAGAGATTTGGGGATTTGGTTTAATTTTGATATATTAGTTAATTGCTTAATATTTAGAGTTGGATTTAATGAGTTTTCATTAGGGGTGATTGATTCCAGATACCCTATATTTTTTTAAGGAACTAGAACTGAAATCGATGGCTCCTGAAATTTGAAACCGGAACTGGAACCAATGGTTCCAGTTCCTGGATACTCAGAACCGGAACCTATAACAACAGTTTCGGTTTCGCTTCCGGGTACCCAGGAAAATTACTTTACCCCCAATAGTTTATAAAATGATTAAAAAAACCCTTAAAAACTTACTAATAAAAACCCCCCAAACCACCCCCTCCGCCCCGCCCCCCGACCAAAGCACTTGCTAAGAAAAAATAAAATTACAAATACATTATAAAGCTTTTAGGCCTTCCACCTCCAATTCAATTTTATGGAAACTAGAAACTAAGAATTTCACATTACAAATTATAATAATCTGTTGAAAATTCACAAATTCAAAATTACAAACTCCAAAATTAAAATGATGAAATTACATAACGTATGAAACAAGTAACATAACAATTAACAACATCCACTCTTTAATGTTATATATGACAGCAAAATCACAAATTCAAAATTTGTTTGCCCTAAAATCTAATTGAAGTTTTATATATGATAGAAAAATTACAAAACCCTCCCCACTCTCTTATGTTATTTCATATTAGTCTCAGTTTTCGGTTCTGGTTCTGGTTCTTGACTGCAAGAACCGGAATCGGAACCACATCGTGTTGATTTCAAGATTTTTGGAAACCTACTCGTTAAAGGCCGGTTTTGGGTAGGAACCGGAACCAAACCCCGAGTACCCATCGATTCCGGTTTTGACCGATTCTTTTAAACACCCCTAGTTTTTATGGGTTTATAAGTTGAATTTTATTGGGTTAGTAGAAATTGTTTGAAAAACTTAAGTTATAAGATTTGGGGCTTTAATATATATTTTATTTTAAATTTATCAACTTGCATGTTTTGAACCCCCTCACTAAAAATCTTGGCCACAACTCTGCACACATGCAATATATTAATTAAAATTAGATTATATAAATGTTTAAAATTGTTCTTTTAAACTCTACGCAGTATAGGGAAGTAAGTACTCTAGGTCCTGTCCGGGATAAGCCTGCTGTGTATTTGAAAAATAGAAGCCAAGGATCACGGGAAAGGGTTTGGTTAAAATGAAAAGGGTTTCTTTTAAAATTTTACTTGATATAAAAATATATGATATTTACTAAGGATGTACATACATATTCAGGAACTAATTTTTTCGAAATAGTCCCACCATTTTCTAAACCCAATATCCCAACACAAGAAAGATAAACGTCCATGGTTTTCCAAGGAGTTACAGAATTTCCAAAGAGTTTTAGAAAAGGAAAATGTGAAGAGGTGGATAATTTGATATTAAACTATGATATATTTATAAATAATTTTTTATTAATAAATATAATCTTAATAGGGGTTTATTAAAAAGGGTTTTGGTTGGCCTAGCTATCACTTCCCAACCATATATAACATGGTATAGATTAAAATTATGTTTCGCATTTCCCTTGATTGATTTGGACTAGTTTAAGTAAATTTGGTTATATATGTCTTTTACTACATTTCCCACTGTAATTCTGCCTATATAATATACCTCATTTGATTCATCAACAATCAAAGCTAGCTAGTAGAGTGATCTGCTAATAACCAACATTATATTTAACAAAATTAGCAATGGAGCTCTTCTTCCTTTGTGGCCTAATCCTCTTTACTCTCTTCGTTGCTGTATCTCTTCGTTATCTCTTTTCCAATAATTCCAAATCTTCTTACTCTAACCTCCCTCCAGGCAACTTGGGTTTGCCATTCATAGGGGAGAGCCTTGATTTTCTCAGCAATGGCCGAAAGGGTCATCCTGAGAAGTTCATATTCGATAGAATAGCCAAATACTCCTCTCAAATCTTCAAAACTTCAATCTTCACTGAACCTACCGTTGTTGTTTGTGGTGCTGCTTTAAACAAGTTCTTGTTCTCCAATGAGAATAAGCTTGTCACAGCCTGGTGGCCCGACTCAGTTAACAAGATCTTCCCTACAACAGCCCAAACATCTTCCAAAGAAGAATCCAAGAATCTGAGGAAGATGTTACCAAACTTTCTAAAGCCAGAGGCCTTAATGAGATATATAGATATGATGGATTCAATTGCACAGAAGCATTTAGCGGCTGATTGGGAAGGGAAAGAACAAGTGACAGTGTACCCACTTTCAAAGAGTTATACCTTTTGGGTTGCATGCAAAGTTTTCTTAAGCATCGATGATCCTGAGCTTGTTGCAAAATTTGCTGAACCTTTCGATCTTTTGGCTTCAGGAGTCCTTTCTCTTCCTATAGATTTGCCAGGGACTCTATTCAACCGTGCTATCAAGGCCTCAAATTTTGTCAGGAAGGAGTTGATAGCTGTTATCAGGCAAAGGAAGATTGATCTTGCACAAAATAAAACCTCTCCGAAAGATATATTGTCCCATATGCTACAAGCAACAGATGAAAATGGTCGGCACATGAATGAGTTGGACATAGCCGATAAAATTCTTGGTTTGTTGATTGGTGGCCACGACACAGCTAGTGTTGCCATTACTTTCATCATCAAATATCTCGCTGAGCTTCCTCACATATACGATAAAGTCTTAGAGGGTACGTTATTTTTTCAATTTCATTCACTTATTATTCTTTTTCATTATTTTCCGTAAATCAAGAAATGGCGGCAACAAATTCCGGAAACAAGTTTTCTTTCAAATGAGATAAAACTGCTTTGGTGTAATACCGACGGAGATCAAGTAAACAGCTAGCATTTGATAAGAATAAACCATTAAAGTATATTGACATACCTTTATGACACTAAAAAAAAAAGCTTTGATTTGATGTATTCAGTATTTGACAATAGAAATCCAACGAAATTATATAATACATCTTTTTTATTTGTGATACTATCGATAATTATATATCCTATGTTACATTTTCTTTGGAGTAGATAGTTATTACAGTTTTTTTCCATGATTCCAAGGCTTGTTGATCTGCTATTAATTAACAATTATATTTTGTGAAATATATCTATAGAACAAATGGAGATTGCAAAATCGAAAAAGCTAGGGGAGTTGTTGAACTGGGAGGACATTCAGAAAATGAAGTACTCATGGAATGTTGCATGCGAAGTTATGAGACTATCTCCTCCACTTCAGGGTTCTTTCAGGGAAGCCCTTAGTGACTTTGCCTTAAATGGTTTTTCCATTCCTAAGGGCTGGAAGGTCAGTTCAATCTACATTCATATATATATGTAGACACATCAGTTGTCCATCCATGTATATGTTAGAGAAAATTTCGTACTGACATGGTTTTCTGAATTAATTAATTATATATATTTGTAGTTGTATTGGAACGCACATTCAACACACAGGAATCCAGAATGTTTCCCGGAGCCTGAAAATTTTGATCCAACAAGATTTGAAGGGAATGGACCAGCTCCATACACATATGTTCCATTTGGAGGAGGACCTAGAATGTGCCCTGGAAAAGAATATGCACGTTTGGAGATACTTGTGTTCGTGCATAATGTGGTCAAAAGGTTCAACTGGAAGAAATTGATTCCTGATGAAAAAATAATTTTGAATCCAGTGCCCGTGCCAGCTAAAAACCTTCCCATTCGCCTTATTCCTCACGAACACCTTAACTAATTATGTGACATTTCCAGGGCTTAGCCAGCTCCAGTATCTTTCTTAATAATAATTAACTGTGAGAGTGTTGTAAGTTTATACATATAATAAGGCAGTTAAAGTTGCTGCCTAGATCAAGATTAAAGGCACAGTTTGCCTTGTCTTTCTTTCTTAATTTCAGCATTTCTGTGCAAATTAGTCTCTTTCTTGAATAAACACATATCTATTTGTATCCATTAAGCTCCAACCCTCTTTATTAATTATTTAAGTTTCTACATTTGTCATGTGATTGTTCTACTAATTTTCTCGAAGAATTAATCCATGGCCTCTCTCATTGATCTTAGTTGTTGATTTTGAAACATTCAAAGAGGAATATATGTCAATAATTAAGTTGTTAATTAAGCTATAATATAAAGTAGTCAAGCGAATAGTTCAAGTTTTAAGAAAATGCCATATGTTAAAATAGATTAAAAAAAAAAAAAAAAGTCAATTGGAAAGGGAGGTTTCTTTTAAAATATATATAATTTGACAATGTAAACATAATAGTTTTGACAGAATTAAATGAAAGGAAAAGAATAGATAACTAATTTACGATTTTCAAACATGAATTGGATTACTCAATTTTTGAATCATGCATTTAGTCAATTAATTAAGCAACATATTAAGTGATTGAAGAAAAATAAGTGTAAACTTGTATCTATCCCTATCTCAGTCGGGCCATGTTAGTCTTTCCCCGATATATATCAAACGTTTATTCCTATCTTTATATGTTGTGTGTCCAATTTCACCATAATTAATAATTTCGTTTGCCAACTACCATTTTGAGTTTGACATGGATGGACGTGAGTGGGGAGTTAAAAGTTATGAAGGAGATAGGGCTTTTGATATGTCGAAGATTCCCACTCATCATATTATAAAATAAATAACACATGTTAGACAACCCCAACAGTTGATCCGTTATTTCTCTTTATTTGGAGAAATCATGTATCTACCTCGTTGACTTTGTTTAGGGAAATATTTGGACTATACAAATACTGTATGGAAATGTACATTAATTCTAGACTTTTGTGGATTATTTTACACGAAAAAAATATTCTAATCTTTGAAGAGAATAAAACAGAAGAAGTCAAAGTACTTTTGTGTTAAGATTTCTATGATATGCAACTTGCGAGTTAAGATTTCTCACTTGAAATAATTATTTATGATGATTTTGATTCTAAGAACTAGTGATAAATGATGATATGGTAACCACTTACTACTGTATGAACATTATTCAACGTATGCAAGAATTAATAAAGTTTACAGATAGCATCCAAGATATTGATGTTTTGATAGTTTATGTAATTAAAGTAGCACATTTTTTTTTTTTTTTTTAATTGGGTAATCCTTATATAGATCACAAACAATTTTTTAATGTTGCATTATTTGTAAGGCCTGTTCAAAATCATTAATTTTACTACATTACTACGTTTTGAAAATTTGGAAAAGAGTTTTGGATATGAGTTAACGAATTAATCCCCTGAACTATGATATACTAACAAAAAAATTCTTAAGACTTTTGAAATAATAAAAAACTCTCCTATCGTTACCGTTAAAATTTACACTGTTATGAGATTGTAAATATTACCAAATTATCCTCCTACTGTTTATTTTAATATCTAAAACTTAATAGTAGAGGGATTTTGTTATTATCGAAACCTTAATGGGATGTTATACCATATACCTTACAGAGATTAATATCATTAACTCTGGAAATATTTATACACAGCACACGTCACTTTTGACCAAACTAATTTTTTTACCGGGTTATTAAACTTTATTTGGGGTATACAATTATTTTAATTCAATTGCTTTCAATTTAAAGCCTTAAGAATTTAAATGTGTTAATCTTTTTTTACCTTTTATTTTACTTATTCTATAATACACTAATTAAATTAATATATGATATCGATTGTTAGGATTCCAGCCAAGTACCTTCAACCTCCTATCAAATTCTGACTGCTGTAGAGTTTTATTAGCTTTTAAAATTTCAATGATATACATATTTATAAATTATAATATAGTCATGATAGGCTATGATATGAATGAGAAATAATGCATAGTTAGTTGAGAAAAATAATGTTTGAAATGTACAAGGAAGAAAAATAATAATAAATTAAATTAGTTGGGGAAATTATTTTTTCGGTTGTAAGATGAAGAAAAATATTGTCATCTATTGAATAAAATATCATCGTTTATATATTCAAAAGTAATCGATTACATTAATGGTGATTCGGTGGGAGATGAACCAAAAAATAAATGTGTATATCATGAAATATCATTGAATGTCTGTATGTTATGGGTGAAGTTTTTTCTGTGGTCTAAACTTTGCATTGCGAAAAAAATTCTATGGATCATTATGGGAGATAGCTCTTCTTTACTTATGTAGAATTATTTTTAAATTATTTTATTTATTTTTAAATTTAAAGTTATTCAATCCTCTTAAAGAGTTTGTATAAAATTTTTATACATAAAGTATTATTCATATCGAATTTTTTGCTACTCTCTGGACGTCTATTGCAAAAGATTTCCATAATTTTATATTTTTGTATGATTATTTATTTTTTAAATTGGGCAACCCATATGTAGATCTCAAACAATGTTTGTTGTTGCATAATTTGTAACGACTCGTGTAAGTCATTGAGGTCATTATGAGATTTGGAAATATTTACATTGTATCAACTATACACTATACTTTGAAAATTTTGATAATGTTGGGGATTGGTAAACACACTTTAGTGTTTAAATACCCATTTTAATGTGCAGCAGAATATTACTAAGTTGATTAAGAAATTTTTAGTTTTTAACCACAACAAATATAAGTGCAGAAAGTAAAGAACACAGTAATATACATAGTTCGGCTAAATCCATGAGGCTTTGTCCAAATCAAAGCAATCCACTAAGTCAAAAACACATTACAAGATATAGTTTAAAGCTGATCTAAGTTACAGTAAAAAGAACTCTCTATTCAACTTTACATTTAGCACCACACTCTGAATCCTTAACGTGTAGCAACTTCTTTGGAGCTTCTTCTCATCGGGAACACACCCGAGAATAGCTTGTAAACCACCAACCTTCAAGCACCGATGCCACGCACAAACATTAGTAAAGGAACCACGTTCCAAAATTCATCAAGTCTATGTTTGATATGGTGAGGTTTTGGCACAAAAGAGAAATGAACCTCGAACCTTAAGAGATTGAATACTCTAAGAAATTCAGAGTACAATGAAACAAATTGTCAAAAGGTTAGATTCATTTACGCAAGAAAGAGTATTATATAATGAAAGATTTCTTGCTAAACAATATAGTGCCACATCAGTCAACAAGGGGCTGACCCTTGTTTGTCCAAATAAGGAAAGTATTCATTCTTTTGGTTTGGACCACAAAACAAATCGGGAAAGATAACTTTATTCCTTAGGACTACTTAAGGATATTATGACACATGTGAAAGGTCTTAAATATCAAGAGACAAAGATAAATAATATCTTTTTCACTTTATCAAGCATGCAACTCGTGTTGGGTTGCAAGATATATGAAGCGAGAGTGTAAGCACAAACTGTTGTGCATACACTCGAAACAAAACAAGCCAAAACACAAGTCTAACAAACAGTGTGCATTAAGAACTGACGTGCACACACACAACATATGAAACAAGCTAAATAAAAGGAGCATACATAACTATTATGCACACACAACTCATAAGTTTGACAAAAGTGAATATTCTACGAACGAGAATTTCGACCATATTTATACACTTGACACATGCATTTTAATTTCTTCACACTATATTCTTAACCAAAATAAATATAGTCTACCAACAAACAACTTTTTATTTATTTTTCATTAAATGCAATGCAGTACACTTTTCATCTTTTTCAAGGACATTTAATATTTGTTTTTTATTTTCAATGAAAGCTCATTAAATGTAACATAAGTACACCTTTTTTATTTATTAAATTAAATTATTTATTTTCAATCTTCTCTATCTTAAGATTGCAGGAACGAAGAAGATTGGGGTGAGCACGGGTAGCGGATAGAACCAGAACTTGCAGATAGAACCGAAACCGGAATCAAAACTTACCTGAAACCGACACTATATGGGTAGATTCTGATTCCATTTTATTAGAACCAATACTGTGCGATTTTGGTTCCGTTTCTTATGTGTGGAGGAATCGGAATCGGAACCTGGAAAAAGAACCTGAAATGGGTACCCGGTTTGGAATCTGCTTGGAACCTAACGGATACCCGATTTAGAACCTGTTTAGAACCGATTTTTGGAACCTGTTTTGGATCTTATTTTGGAACCTGAGCTCAATGAAATATTTGTGAATACCGGGAGGTTTCATTATTTTACATATAAAAAATTTTAAATAGAAAAAGTTAAAATTTTAGAATAACCTAACTAAATAAATATACAATGATACTTATTACATATAAACTACACCATATTAAAAACTATAATATATTAATATTAAAGTTTTGATTAATTAAGTGTATAATTGGAATTTGGATCCAATTAAAAGTGTTTTAATGTTATTAAAAGAATCATTTTTGAATAAAATAATATATTTGATTGAATAATAATATATTTAGTTATTTACTTCAATTATCAAGTTCTAAGTATATCTATAGTAAATTAGCAATTAATTAATTATATATGATAAATTGATAAACATTAATAAATTTAATTACTAGTTAAATATCATACTTAATCAATTATAACATTACATTATAGTTAAATGGTTACTTAATTAATTATAATTTTATAACATTACTTAATTGATTTATAGTATAATTAATTATAGCAATACATTAATTGATTACTACTTAATTAATTGACTTTATTATAAACATTAGTGCAAACTTAATTAAATGATTAAAAATTTAATTAATTATAATATTACATTAAAAATTTATAGTATGATTATTTAATAGTTAATTCACTATAACATTACATTATAGTATGATTATATAATTAATTATAACATTACATAATTAAATAATTACTTAATTAATTATAATATTAATTAAATGATTACTTAATTAATTATAATATTCTATTATTAACAAATTAATTATAATATTATATTAAAAATTTATAGTATAATTACTTAATTCATTATAACATTTCATTAAAGTATAATTACTTACACGACCCGCCTCGACCCTCCCTATCCCATAAGCTCCGGGCGCACCTATGAGACTTGGGCGGCCGAGACGTGCTATGTGGGAATCTAAAAACCTGTATTCTGAATACGCTTTTCATAAAAACATTCGCTTGGATTCGTTTTGAAAGCACAAACACATAAGATATATATACATACATTTGAAAATCTAAAAGCTAACTCGTACGTTCATAAAATACAAAAACGGATGGTATCGATCAGATCTTCATATCCTTTATAATCAACACAGGAGATAAACATAGGGATAAAACATAATTCTGTTGCGGGAACAAGCATGACATTGTTACACACATGATGAGTTGATGATGTATGGGCCCAACCTCGAGAGGAATCACTCCTCAGCACGACTCTTCCTATGAACCTGAGGAAAAGGGTCTAAAAAGGGGTGAGCTGAAATACTCAGTGAGTGGGGGATTGGGGAGAGTTTGCAATCTTCAACAATAGTCATGGCATGCAATAGTTCTTATGAGATCCTGAAAACAACATGATTCTATGAATGTGTTATGGAAGTAACTAAATCATTCCTGTATGCATGTATAACTCGTTTCTAATTGTTCTAAGTACTGTAATCTCATCATTTAAGCTGAAAACAAATTCTAAATTATAGCTCATCATTGAATGTTTAAAAATTCTTTTTTTGGAAACTTAAAACATAACTGTAAGTGTTTATCCTTTTGGGAACAATGTTTCCTATAAGTCATGTTGCAACCATCTATGTCATCACTCAAGAATGCATACGATTTTGAAAAGAATAACTCTACTGGTCATGCTACAAACATCCAAACCATCATTCAATGAACATTCATGATCTACAAAACAAAATCTGGTAACTAAATTTATATCTATTGTGATGATATAAAATTGAAAGCTGATTTTTTCTGAAACTATCTACCAATAAATGATTTTGGAATACTATAAACTTTATGCTAATAACTGAAATTTAAACGGAATACTATAGCTTTTACTGATACTGAAAACTATAAGCTGATATCTTATTCTGAAACTGTGGCTAATACTGAAAGCTGTCTTAATTATTCTAAAAACTCATATTGAGACTATCGCTCATAGCAGATGCTAAAAACTGAATGTGATTTTGAACATTCTAAAACTGATTCTGATGTTAATAACATAAAACTCTCACCGCAACTAGTACCCTCGGAAAAATCTGTCTTACCTGGTGGGTGTCTCGCATGCATGCAGAGCAAGGGATGTACCTGTCATACCCGGCAAGATCTATCATCGCGCGGGCAGAGCCACTGAAACTATCATACCTGGTGGATCACTCAACGCCTAGGCAAAGCCAATAAAATCTGTCATACGCATGCGCAAAGCCAAAATCTGAAACTGTCATACTCGGCAAAATCCTGCATCACTCGGGTAGAGCCAAAAATCTGTATCTCTGGGGAACGGGTACTTTGTAGGGTGGTTTGCAAGTCATTACTATACTTATTCTTAACCTAATACACTATATTTCTTCAAAACATAGGCCTTTATAAATTTATTAAAACATTATGAAATAATTTATGGTAGTGTATTCTAGGCTAATATGTAAGTAAAGACAAGTAATGAAATGAACATGAGGGAGCCAAAAGAAACTTTACACAATTATTAAATAAGTCTACAATTCACGTGACAGGCACTTCCACAAAACTCAATGCATCATAGTTTCAAAGACACCCTCAATACTCTTAAGTTTAACACTTAAACCCTGACAAAATTGTAACATGTAATTATTAATTAAGGTTTGCACTCCATGTGAGTCTCATAGACATGAAAAGCATTGGCTTGCATTTAATGCTTCACGAACTCCTTTAATACCAGTGAGCCTCATAGATGTCAACCTACTCATAAGGGTGCTACCTAATGCCTTATCTGATGTTTCAAATTGAGAATGGATAGCATCCATCAGATCCTTGACATTTTCACACTCTGTTATCGACCCACGAATACTACTCATAATGTGAGATTTGATAAACATCATGCATAAACGGTTGGATCGCTCCCACCATTCATATAAAGTAATCTCAGCCTGAGTAATAGTATCCGTAAGTGTAGGTGACTCTTCCTTACGAAGAGCATAGTCAAGATCAATGCACCCCAAAAGGAGAAGAACTGCCTCCCTCTATTTTTTGTAGTTGTCACCACTTAAATAAGGAATTTTATCCTCAACCATCATCAAAGTTTGAGGAACTGTAAGTATATCAATAGATATGCTTACTAAATAAATTATGAGGCATAAACCATCAACAACAATTATAAGTTTACCAATATAAAACAAGTAACTAATCTTAAATGAATCTATATTTCATAAAATCTCCCTGTGGATAAACACAATAAAAATTATTAATATTTCATAAAACTTGTGTGCTAATTAAGAAATAAAAATAATTTCTATTTCATCCTAATTAATCATGAAAATATAACATTCCCTATGGGTAAAATGGTTATATTAACATAATTAAATATAAAACGATGTCATTAACTTTAATATGATCATAATAAATATTACTTAAAGTATATATTATCATAACTTAGATGCTGTGGCCAATATAAATTAATCAAATATATATGATCATATAACATCACATAATTACAACATATACTATTGCATATAACACAAAATTATAGAAAATAAAACAAGAATAGTTCATTATTCATGCATAAAAGACCCGCATGCGCCATGACAAACCCATGCGCTCCATCATGCACCTCCCGAATAAGTCCATGCGTTCCCACGTGCTGCAAATATCGTTTTACATGACTTAGAAACTCACTCATGCACCCACACACACCAAGGTCAGAATTGTGTCAATTTGACCGTGACCGTTGACTTTAACCGTTGACCGTTCACTTTGATCATCAGTATTGCCTGAGTTGGGTTGTGTTGACCTGCTTAACTTCGAATTGGGCTAGGTTAACCCGGTTTGGTCTTAGACTGGGTCGAGTTGACCCGATTTGACTATATGACCTGTTGACCTTTTCATTGGATTTTTTGGGCCCGGTTTGACTCATAAAGGGTTGGATTGACCAATTTAAGTGGATTGGGCTGAATGAGATGGGCTGACCAATTTAAATGAATTGGGCTTACACATTTTAATTGATCAATTGGGCTCTGCACTTTATCTCTTAATATAATAGGATTGGGCAAACTTTAATGGACCGGGTTTTGGGTTGGCAAAACCCATAAAATTGACTCATTCTCAGCAAATTCTAGCCACCATTTTCATGGCTGTAGAGGCTAATTCTGGCAAATTTTTGGTGACTTATGGGTTGAAAATTTGGCATGGACTGATGGTCTCCACACACATGAACTATATCAACTTCAGTTTATATTCATCAATTGCAAAATCCATCAAATATGAAGAATCAAATAGCACCCAAAACCATAATATATATTTCAATGAATTCATATACATGTTCCTAAGTATTTATAAAACACAGCGGAACTAAATTAATACTACTCACCTCCCGCCATAGCAAATTGTTGTAGATCGTCTTCTTGGTCTTCACAATTTTGTCTTTTCATAGTCTGCAGGTTCTTCCTATAAAATGTGATTTCAAGGTGTAATGGTTTTGGGATAACAGATAATAAATCGCTTGAATTAGAGACCTATAACTGCTCCCTTTTATGCAGTAGTTTGTCCATCAAAGACAACTACAAGAGGATAACTTGCTGCGGTTTAACACTTTGTGAAATTACAAATAAAGGTTTTGGACCAAAAAGCAAATAGGGGTAATTAGAAATTTATTAAATTAAAAATTATATATATATATAGGGATTGGCATGGGCTGGGTCGGGGCCGGGGACCCCATTCCTTGTCCCCGGCTCATCCCCGCTAGCGGGGACAACTTTCATGACCGTCCTTGGCCTGTGGGGATAGTATCACTCCCATCCCCATCCCAGCCCAATGAACAAAGCTTCACAGGGAAATTCGCCCCGTGGGGATTTTTCCCTCGAACATAATTAAATATATCTATATCTAATCTTAACATAATTTATTAGGTAAATTAATTAACTATTCAATTGTATATAGGCTTAGGCTTAGTTAGCCTTGTTAATTAATTAATTTTTCATAAAATTAATATAACTAAATTCAATCTTAACATAATTTACTAGGTAAGTTGATTACTTATTTAATTGTATGAAGGCTTAGCCGATTAGGCTTAATCAACCTTGTTAATTAATTAATTTTTTATAATATATATAATCTTAACATAATTTATTAGATAAATTGATTAATTATTCAATTGTATGGAAGCTTAGGCTTAGTTAGCCCTGTTAATTAATTAATTTTTCACAAAATTAATATAACTAAATTCAACCTCAACATAATTTACTAGGTAAATTGATGAATTAATTCATAAAACACTATCTCCACTATAACTAATAAAATTAGTCCATTTGTGAAAGGGACAAATCCCAGTATCCCAAGTTCCTAACATTGATTAAGTTTAACATCATATTTAATTGACCCATTAATTAATTACAAGGATAAATAAATTTGTGTAATTTGTAAGTTGTTAAGTAATTGTGTATATTCTTATATTGGTCTAGCAAATTGTAATAATCTAATCAAATTTATTTTTGGGCCATGTATTATTATTTTGTGAAATACACAAATTAATAATACATATCTATGCTTGTTGATGTTCTATTTTAATTTGTAAAGGTGGATGTACATATGTAATAGTTTTATTTGTTGATGTTTGCCAATTTTTTGTTGTATTAGTGGTTACAAAAATAGTTTTCTTTTTAGTTAAGTTTTGATAATATTTTATATTTTCTAAACAATTAAAGAAATAAATATTTTGTTTCAATTTTTCTTGTGTGTTGTACTATTCAGATCTAAGGATATTTTGTTCTCCTGGTTTAAATGTTGTAAAGAATATTTGTCTTTTTTCTTTATTATAGTTTTGTCGGAATTCTTGTTTTAATAATTCTTTGTTAATTTCAAACGGTTTAGTTATTGTGTTAATTTGACTATAATTTCCTAATACTTCTGTTTGTGTTGGTGAACTAGGTGGACTTGATGTATTTTCATATGCAGGTTTTGGTACAGGAGGGGAATAATTTACTCCTACTAATTTACTTGTTGAACTTGCTGATAAGGGCCTAGGTGTATTAATTTCTTCAATCCTACGGATATGATGATTTTTATTGGTAATTATAGGTTGATTTTGTTCTATGGGAGTTTCTCTAAATTTTAATCTTATTGTACCATATTGTTCTTGTATTATTTGTTGTATTTCTGATTCATTTTGATCATGTAAAGGTTTTGGAGGGCATAATTTTTCTAATTTCCAATCTGTCTATTTAATAATTTCATCCCAAGCTAATTTTTTGGTGTAAAAGTTTTATGTTTTGTTCTATCAACTTCCATAATAACTGTGTGTCCTGGTGGGGACATCCTAATGGCTCTTGGACTAATTGTGGTATTCATAACTTTGTAATAAATCTTATATATTAATGCTACTGATTGGGCTTTATCTTGATAAGCAAGATTAGAAGCTTTTAAATTAATAGTTAATGCAGACAATATTGTTGGATCATATATATAATCCTACTGTAAAATTTGGATAACAATCAAAATATACTGGACCACTTTCTAAATTAGAATTTAATATTGCTAATAAAGAGTTATTGAAGTTTAAATTTCTTGCATCTCTTAACATTACTAATATTGGAATGTTTTGTCATAATCTAAATAATGGTTTTACTGCCACTTGTACTAATCCTACGTGTAAAAATTTATAATTATTTTGTCTGTGTTTATGTATTGCTTCTTCAGAAAGAAGTTGAATTTCTTCAACCCTTTCTTCGGTTATCATTATTGTGTCTTCTGTTGTTTTAATAGAATAATCTGACATAAATTCAAAACTACCTATTTGATATATTGTGTCTTTTTTAACTGGTGATATGTTCTATTATGTAAATGTTGATCGATTGCCATATTAATTTCTTGAGTGTTAATAGATTTCATTAATTCTTGATTATTGTTTGTTCTTTGTTGTTGATTATTAATTCTAATAGCGTTAATGCTACTACTATCATCTCGCTTACTGCTACTTCCTAATCTCCTTAAGAAATTAGACATCTTTAAAACAATTCTGACCTAAAAGTTCTAGTTTTTCTCCTAGATCACAGGACCACCAAGGTACGGGACCACCTAACACACGGCTGACCAACGGTTACAGGCTGACCAATGCACCTTCCAGGCTGACCAAGCGCAACCTAGAATCAATTCTAGAGTTCTAGATTAAAACCTTCTAGATTTATCTAACCCTTAATTCAATTAAGGAATGAACAGTGCTACGATGAACAGTAATGAATAGTAAACTGCTACTAGTGTGAATAGTAAAAGTGAATAGTGATTGTGAACAACAACTTTGAACAGTGTTTTGCTACAGTAACTATGGTAATGGATGTTAATTTGTGCAGTTTTTAATTCCTAATTCCTTACTTCTATTGACTCTACTTGGCTTTGATACCATATATAGCAGCATCGAAAAAATCTTGAGGGATGTGCTATTAAAAGTATGTAATATAAATCAAGTATTAAAAGTCAAAGAAACAAATATATTGACAATGAATAGTAAAATACTTGGATTAATGTAAAAGACTTGAAAACAAATCAAATAAATAATGATGACTTACAGGAAGAAATTTGATGAAGAAACAAACGTTTATTGCTTGATGACTTTTACAAAGGACACTATAAATTTTTGCTCTCTCACAAATTTTTGCTTCTTAATTCCACACTCTTGAAACTTGCTTGCTCACAAAATTCTGCTCTTGAAACTCTACTGCTTACAAAGGAAGTGATACAGATTATACTACAAAGGACCATATTTTAAATACATTTGAATCCGTCTTCATGATTACAATACAGAACATTATTGAAAAGTTGATGAGGTGTCTTGAAACGTGTCTTGAATTATTGAGAATTTTTCAGAACTTGTCTTGGACCGACCAAATGATATTACTGAAAAAGGAATCTTGAAAAAATCTTGGTTTCTACAGAAGGTGTCTGATAAAGTAAAAGAGAATCTTGAAAATCTTGATCTCTGCCAAAAATTTTGAACATGTGATAAAGGCAGTGCTGAGTCATTGTCCTTTATTGAAAGCATAATTGATTTGATTTTGGAATATTGCAAAAGAGTCATCTTCATCTAGATCACTTGGTGACTTGGTATTGTCTGAATCTGCTCTTTGAGATGTGGAAGATCCCGTGGTCATAATAATTTTGTCCATTTCTTCAGTAGTTTGGCATTGAGCCAACTCAGTAGAAGTTTTGATTTTTGAGTCAGAAATGTTAATTATTGTTGAGGTTGACATAGATGAGGGTGTTGAGATATCCATATTTGCATTGCCGTCGGCTAACATTTTGGATAGAAAAGCTAGGCCACCATTTAATAAAGATTTTTCTTCATAATTCTTTGAATTTTGGAGGAGGAAATGTAGTGATATAAAATTGTCAACTCATTATCCAAGCAATTAAGAAATTGCTGGAAAATGCTAGCAAAGGGTCTTCACTGTTATTGAAATTTTTGGCAAACAATTGATATCCTTCCCAAACCGAAGGTGGGAGAATTTTTTCATTCAAACCAAAAAAATTGAACCATTGTTAAAACCATTTTGGAAAAGTTTTTGGACAAGTTTTGTCAAATATAAAAAACCAAGAATGTGTTGTATGTGTTAAACAGAAAGCATAAAACCAGACTTTTTTGATAATCTTTATATGAAAATTCTTGGGGAATAAGGGTTTGAGAAAATGGGCATTTTTGGTAAATTCCAATGTGCCAATCTTGGGGTTTCAAGACGTTTTTGATTTTGCATTTTGAAAAAGCAATTCTATTTGGATTATTTCTATCTGAATTATGGGTAATTTCTATTGAATAAGTATCAACTAAAATAAATTCATAAAATGTTCTTGTTTTTGATAAATCATCAAGAATAAAATAAAAATCTGGAGGAAAAGTTTTTGATAAGGTTTCTTGCATAGTTTGTCCCCAAAATTTGGGTTCAACAATGCAAATTGATTAGGTCATTTCTTTTTCAATGTATTGAAAAGTAGGATTAATGTTAACAGGTTTTGATGGAAAAGGTGAATAAGATGTTGATATTGTAAGGGCTTGTTGGTAATTTTTTGGTGGTGATGAAGAAATAGATTCTTCATCTAGAAGATTGAACCGGTTTGGTTGGGTGATAATGGTTTTCTATTTATTGGGTTTTGAAGGCTTTGATTGTGGGGTAATAGGTTGTTGAGGTGGTAGCATCGCATACGATGCCTTTGATTTTGATTATTTTAGGGTTTGATGGGAGTGTCCATCTTTTCCTCACTTTCTCTAAAAAATTTCTCATTCTGAAAGTTATTATGAGAGAGACTATTAGAGTAAAAAACTTTTGACTCTTGCATTTCATTGAAAATATGTTTTTTAATTTTTGACACTTCCATTTTATTGAAAACATAATTTTGAAACTTTTGAAATCTTAATGGAAAAGGTTGAAAACAAGTTTTTGTAATGCAAGCATCCAAAATTTTGTTGGAATCGAGCCATTCTTTTGTAGGAACAATTTCTAGCTTCTTTAATTTAATAATAGTATTTATTTTAGATATTGAAATATTTTTTAAATTACTAATATCTTTTATTAATGGTGGATTAACAAATTCAAATGTTACATCTTGTCCTAAAATATTGATTGTAATTCCTTTGTAGTTTACGTTAAAAGGGTAAATTTGAGTGATAAAAGGAGCACCTAATATAACATCTTGATCTAAGTCTTTTGCTAGAATAAGGGTATTTTTAATACAAATTTTTGTATACATACATGTGCAATAGATAATTTATAATTAATGTTTAATTGTTGACTGTTAGCTCCATATAATCTTTCTTTGTTTTTTTCATAATATTTTGTTTGAATTAATCTTTCTCTTATATAATTTTGATCTGCTACAGTGTCTACTAAGGCTTGTGTAATAGTATCAAATTCATGATTAATATTGATCCTAATGTAAACATGCCAATTTTGAAATTGAATTCGAGAAATTTCATTAATAAATGCTTCTTCAGTTTCTTCTATAAGTTTTAATTCTGATTTTGAGGTTGATGGTTGTCCTATAGCTTCTTTGGAGACTTTCAAGCATAATAAATCTGTCTTGATTTCAAAATTATCCTTTTGTAGATCTTTAATTTGATTTTTCAGAATATTGATTTCTTCTTGCAAATCATTTAGAGTAACTTGTGTGAGTTTGTCAAATCTTTTTAATATATCTTTTAAATTATAAGAATCTACATCTTTTTGTTTTTCTTCAGATAAAATTAATTCTTTAAGTTTTAATAAATATTCTCTTTTAATATCTTCATCCTGAATCTTGTCAATAATATCTAATAATTTTTTTTTTTTTTTGAGTTAGTGATAACATTTATTGACTTAGGTCTAGAGGTTGATATCATATTTATTGATTTTATTGCATAGTAGCAAGGCCTACATGAGTCACTACTATTACAATTTTGTAGAGATTTACTCTTAATATCTAGAAAGTTTTCTACAAAAGAATTATTGAATTCCTTATTAGAGTTATCTTGAATTATGCTTAATGATTGTTGTTTTTGTATTTTTGTTGGACACATGAGAGCATTGTGTCCTTCTTGTTTGCATTTCCAACATTTTTTAATTTTTATTATTATAATAAGAAAGTTTTCTTTTCCTATAATTTTGTTCTTTGATTGGGGTTAGTTTAGTAAGGACATTAATGTTTGATTTTGAAGGTGCTAATTCATTAAGTTTTAACTAATTTTTTTTAAAATAGTATTGTGATTATTAAATTTTATTATTTCTTCTTTTGGTATATTGAAGGGTTCAAAAAATGATTTAACATATTTTTGTGAATAAAAGGGTGTTGAATTAATACACACACACACACACACACATATATATATACATGGAAATATATATATATATATATATATAAATAAGATCCTTAAAATCTTTAGGAATGTAATATAAATTAAGTTAAAACTCAATGAAAGAGATATATATTGAAAATGAAAAGTGATCGGTGATGAGCTTGTACATCCCTCAATCTTGATCTCTTACGTGTGTGTGTGTCTGTGTGTGTGTGTATTTATATACACACACACACAGACACACACACACGTAAGAGATCAAGATTGAGGGATGTACAAGCTCATCACCGATCACTTTTCATTTTCAATATATATCTCTTTCATTGANAAGAGATATATATTGAAAATGAAAAGTGATCGGTGATGAGCTTGTACATCCCTCAATCTTGATCTCTTACGTGTGTGTGTGTCTGTGTGTGTGTGTATATAGATACACACACACACAGACACACACACACGTAAGAGATCAAGATTGAGGGATGTACAAGCTCATCACCGATCACTTTTCATTTTCAATATATATCTCTTTCATTGACTTTTAACTTAATTTATATTACATTCCTAAAGATTTTAAGGATCCTATTTATATAAAATATATATTCCATATATATGCATATCTATGTATATAGTCACTATATACATGCTTTCATTAATTAATAATTGTAGACAGTATAATCTACTGAGAGGTCATTTGGCTCTGATCATGTGAGGAATAAGCCATTGACAATCATGTAGACCTACAGTGACAAAGAAGAGTGAACGCGAAGACCTTCAACCTCCTATCAAATTCTGACTGTTGTAGAGTTTTATTACCTTTTAAAATTTGAATGATATCCATGTTTATAATATGGTCATTACGGGCTGTGACATGAATGAGAAATAATGCATGGTTAGTTGAGAAAATGATGTTTGAAATGTACAAGGAAGAAAAAGAATACTAAATCAATTTAGTTGGGGAAAATATTGTTTAGGATGTGCGCTGAAGAAAAATATTGTCATCTATTGAATAAATATCATCATTTATATATTCAAAAGTAATCGATCACAATGGCGATTAGGTGGGAGATGAACCAAAAAATAAATGTATATATCATGAAATGTGTATATCATAAGATTTTAATTAGTTGGATCATTAATTTCAGAACCTTTTCAATTAATAGTTCTCTCAAAATTAATGTGCCCTTGACTTTACTGAACGAAAATTAACAATGGAAAATGTTGGTATAACTTTATGCTTATGAAAAAGATTGGTATTACCCATTATTATTAAATATTAGTGAACATAAAAGCTCTTGCCCATTAATTATTAAGAGTGGGTTTTAAAACATAATATCGAGTAGTCATTCTAAAATTGGACTTGGCCTAATAATGAAGTGAATTTTTACTTGCTCTAACCAAGACCCATTTCTCTAAAATACACTTTTTTTTTTTTTTTTTGGTAACCGCGGTGTCCGGGCCAACTTATGCGGACCTTAACTAATCACTGAAGTCCATTGAATACCCTACAAAACCCTCTGAGGTCTATTGAATATCTTATAAACCCAATGAATTGAGTAAGACATAATTATGTATTGAGGTAGGTGGCCCCAAAGTTTAAACCCAAGAAGTCAAAGAATGCAACACACCTCCTTGACCACTGGACTAACCCCTTGGGGTTAAAAACACTTTTCAATGCCCCAATCTATTTATCTTATTACACCCTGTCACATATCATCTTCTCATTTCTTTGAATACTACTTGAATTATCTTGTTTTATCTAAGCTTTCAAAAATCTTGTGATATATATCTATTTTTATTTTAGTACCATAATGGGTGGGTAGTCCACACAAGGAACTCAAACAATTTAAAATTAATGATACTGAAGGCAAACCTC